CCTTCCAGAATGCAGAGTCTGAGGCTATATTTGTGCTCAGTCTCCTGTTTGAGCCCTTTTCGACGAAACATAGGCAACTGCTAGTAGCACCGTTTGATTTAAATTTGCCTGTTCTGCGCGTTTCTTTTTTCAGCCCCAGCTCGGCAATGCGGTGAACGCTAGCGGGGATGTGAACGGCTCAATCACCGCCTCCGCTGCCTCTAATGATCAGGCTGACATGATCTTTGACGAGCTCTGTGCTCCACGCAGCCTAGGCTCGATCGATCCCGAGACCGGCCTCTGCTCCAACTTCGGTTATCTCCTCACCAAGACTTGTCTGATGCCCAGAGACCCCAGCATAATGGGCTCCATCGTTTCGGCCTTTAAGCGAGCCCAAGACTGTCCGCCACGAGACCGCCTTCTTCGTCTCCGTTCGCTGTTTGCTGCCTCTACCAGTACTCTCAGTTACGGCGAGTGGAAGGGCGCCTACTCTGACACCTCTAAGGTACGCTTTTTCACCTTTGAACCTCTTCTCTCCCCTTGCCGTCATCCTGGCTTTGCTTGTTTCGGCCACTACTGCCGCACTTGTTGATGGACACTAGGAGACTTACCAGGCAGGCCAAAGTAAAAAAACTCGCCAACGCTTTTAAATTGATTGAATATTAGCGGGTGAACACTCACCAATCGGCTACGGGACTCACTCGTGACGTTGCATTTGGGCTTACTCTCAAGCCCCTGCAGCAACCACACAGGGGTTAATGTTGCAGGCAGATGAACATTACCAACAGAGACTGGATGCTTTAAATAATCTTTCTGATAGAGGATTTAACGTTTATTACCACGCAGTTGCATGTGGACTTTCTGTTGAAAATCTCTTCAATGATACCTGTATAGATCATTTGGAAAAAATGCTCGTACGTCACCCCAAAAATGGTTATTTTTGCATTGTGTTTTATTCATACCGCATTGAGTGCTGTAAAGGTATTGCGCTAGCCGTAAGTCGAATCCACATCTGTTCTGATACGATATATGTGTACTTTTACTTGGTACGACTGTGATCATGTCCAATCTAGCCGGCTTCAGTGATCGCACGTACTGTACTCTTCCACGCGTGGTGATCTGCGACAGTGGATCTGGATAGGTCTTCTTCCGCAGTGGCTTCGAACATCGAACGCCCGAAAAACAATTCCATATCTTGACGAAGTGTATCGAACCAGTCCTTGAGTCTACCCCTCTTCTGATATCCCAAGCTATCACTGGGAGAGGTTTATTTGACGTTCCGGGTAGTTGT